AATCGCCTTCGCCTCTTATTCCCACTGACTCCAACCACAAGTGATGTGAAACACCCCTCACTCCTCACCCAATTCCCCACCTTCGTGTAGGTGCCTCTACAACACAACATCCTGCAACACCGTCCCACTCGCTCAACCACCACCCTCCTCATAATCATCATCCCTCTGCTCCTTCTCACCCCTTCCTCCCTTCATTCACAACTCCTACATCAATCCTGTGTCCACAAACAGCACTACACACACACACACTTGTACATTGGAATGGGCAATACCCTCTCGTGCCTGCGTCCACTCTGACTTCCTTCCTTCCTTCCTTGCAGTGACACTGAAGTCTTGATTCACTGCACCTCCATCTGCCTCCTCCACACCCACAGTGTTAAGCGATTCGCAGTGCCGCATCAGTTGGTGTCGCACCCTCTTACCACCCACATCCGATTGCTTCATCCACTCGTCGCCTCATCCTTCGTTGCATGCACCAGCTTTACATGGCACACACTTGCAATGCCACTACTTTTCTGCCAAATGCCAATCACAGCAACTCGAGGTGATGCTGATGCAGTTTGTGTGTGTGTGTGCGAGAGAGAGAGAGAGGAAGAGGGGGAAATGAAGGAAGGGGAAGGGGGGTCGTTGGTGTGGGGAGTGAGGGAAAGGGGAGGGGAGGTGAGGTGAGGGGAAGGGAGGAAAACGCATAGTGTGCATTCCCAATTGATTGCAAGACCTACGAGGCACTCGTGTGTGAGTGCACGTGTTGGTAAGTGTGGGTGTTGTGTACTAGTGGAGGGTGCTGTTAGAGTTCACAGTGCACCTCCCATCGGCACACACCTACGGTGCATCTGGGAATGACGAAGCTCTACACCATCGTTCACAAGCCGGTCATGCAGTGTTGCACTCCGCCTCGTTACGTGATTGAAGTGGAAGCCTCTCCACCTCACAACTCACTCTTCCCCTCCCTCCACCTCCACTCCAGCCACCTCTGCTTTCCCCTTGCCCCTACCTTCCACCCAACTCGCAACACCTTCACATCCACTTCCTACTCCATCCTACACATCACAGCACCACATCGTCAATGCTCGCGACATCACCGCAACACTTATTTCGCCAATCACATACACCACCTGTCCATGCAACTCATCACATTCATTCACCACATCCGTGTGCCAATGGGAGCACTCGGGAAAGTTCTACTGTTCAGCACAAAAGTGGCCTTTCATCGTGAACGTGTGTTGCATGCGATGTCGTCAGATCCCTTCTCGTGTCTCAGCCTCTCAGTGGCAATGTGGATGTGATGGTGGTGGTGGTGGGCGTAGTGTTTGGTGGAAGTAGGAAGGCACAAAGTAGTGTTGTGTGGTTGAAGAAGAAGAAGCGTTGCCTGCCACTCAGCGTGTGTGTCGTGATGGGAGTGGCCTGAGAGGCAACTGGAGCGTGAGTAGAGTGCCACTGGTAGTGTTATTAGTGGCACCACCACCTCACTTGCAT